TATGCTAGTTTCCATTGACTCTCATCTCCCAAAATTCGCAATTGCTGTTTCGTGAGTCTAGAATGCTGCAGGAGGAATTCGAACATTATCCGCTCCTCTGGTGTTCTCTGCGGCAACACGTGTGGCCATCGCGAGCTGGACTTGTGCGGGCATACGGTGGATCGATGCTCCGAATCACTGGTTGTTTCTATGCCCGGCTTGATGAGAGCTTGCAATCGTGGGATTTGATACAAAAGATTGCCTGCAGGCCGTCCAACTAGTGGATTTAGAAGAATTCAGGGAATGGTGGCGGCTTTTCCTCCGTAAACTTCGATGCAGGCTTCCACGCTGTTGAGCGTTATCGGGACAGCTCCAGGATCTTGCAGGTAACGGTGAGGCCACAGTCCTCTTTGCTGGGGTGGTGTCAGTCCCAGTGCATGTGTTCTAGGATTCCAAGTGCAGTACGAGATTCCTATCTTTGCCAATAAGTTTTGTTTTATATCAACCTTTAGTGGGCGACCTCCGTGCCACGCATAGGACTTGCGGCTAGCCTGATCTGCAACAAGCGCTGGAAGTGGGATGGGCCAGTGGACATTACACATCACTATATCAATGTCAGTGGCGTGTCCTCCGCTCCACGAGGCTCGTCCAGTCAGAAAACTTGCCTTCTCTCTGTCCACTAGGTCGGACCCAAACTCCACAACCAGGCGTCCCAGCCACATAGCCAAGGTTTCTTCAGGTCTCATCTTGGACTTCTTGCATAACTCTTGCGATTCCGTCCAGGTTTCAGCGTGATACATGTTGGCAGTGATACAAGCTGTACTCTGCGCACCAATCATTCGGCTTCTCGCTGCCACAGGATGTGTGGCCGTCTGAGACATCACTGCATCCGTTAGGGGAACCGGATACAGCTGTTTCTCCGTTGCCCCCTTGCTGTACTGTGAGGGCGGGGCAGTCGGGAGCAACGCAGCCTCATGGGGCGGAGTCATTAACTGAACTCCCACCCGTCCGTCGAAGGATCCGCCTTTCTCTTCCGGGTCCTCCGGGCAGCTCCCTTCCCTCTCGGCGCCATCTTGAAATGGCGGGGGACCGGGGGGTTTTCCCGTTGCCATCTGTTCAGCCGCCTGAACAGCAAGCAGTCGGACTTCCAGGTCTGCCTTTTCCCGCATCAAAGTTGTTATCATGCAGAACATTGCATTTAACATTTTCCCCTTTCCGTGTTCCGAGCCGGTCCTTCCAGTCGCAAGGTGACATTCCCCTTCTAACTTTCCACAGAGCTCCGAAAGAAGCTTGGGGTCTCTCAGCTCAGGCGCCAGTGTTAAATTAATCAGCGCTGTCTCTTCACCCTCCGCATAGCGCATGCGGCGGGCAAACTCCTGGCTGAGGGCAGTACTTTCTTCGCTCGGCTTTGGTCTGGCGAAGAGTTCTGTGCCTCCTTCCTTTTGGGGTCTAAATAGAACCCGCTCACTTCTCATCACACATCCGAACGCCCCGGGATGGAGATGTACTTCCCACTCTTTCGCAGTTTCCTCTTCTCCTTCGAGCGAGAGGTAACCACTGACGAGTCTTCCACCTGTTCTGCCCACTTGGTGGTAGGCGATGTGTGCACCTAACTCCACAGCGTTCTGCACGTGGCGTTTTCCATTGCGCCAGGGGCAATTCTTAACTAATTCCAACTCCATTGCGTCTTCCCTGGATACTGATCCTGTTCGTGACGCCATGTGGGGGCCGAGTATAGCCGGAATGGGGCCGCACCGATGGAGTGGAATTAGGCACAAACGCGTACTGGTTGAATTGAAAAGAACTTTACTTACAAACTGATGTACAGGGACTTGCGTCAATGCACACAGTGTAGGCACGCTCCGTTACAAACAAAAGAAAGAAACTGGGTGGCACACCGATGTTTTCCGAGCATGCAGGGTGCGGGGTACGTCGGGACGGTCGGCAACGGGGAGTGGTTGGTGGTTGATCAGGCCTCCAATTTTGCTCCAAGGTACACGAGGAACTCATTCCCAACGTACACGCAGAGTTCTCCGACTTGGGCGGAAACTACCCAAGCTTTTATACGGCTAGTGAGCCAATTGCTAGCCGCCAGGTGTGAATAATTTATAATGAGCCAATCGGTAGCATGCATCCAAACAGTGCAACTGCTAGTTTTGGCGGGAGCTGATCACTGCACCAAGGCTTTTCCCGCCATAGCGAGGCATCCCTTGCACCGAGTACTCACATCGTGCTAAGAATTCTGCTGTGTCGAGGCACTTTTAATTACTAAGTACAGACAGGCAGTATTAGAAAAATCAAAAAGAGAAGCCAGGTGATTCAGTAACCAAGTGATAATGCTTTGTATTTATATAGCACTTTCATCTGAGAATCTCAAAGCTCTTTATGAATGCTGGGCCAGTTCTCCACTGCTTTCTTTACTGGTCATGTATATGAATGGTAAGTGGAAACCCAAGATTTAATGTATTTGCCCTCCAAGTTTGCTTAGGTGTACATGATTGTTCATTGTGCAAGCTAGGGGAGAATAAGACCTGTTAATGATCAAAATGGCAACGGTCTTCCTTTTTTTCCTTTAAATTTTTACTATCATTGAGGGTTATGGCCAGATTCTGCTCTAATTTGCATTCCTTGAAATTCCACTGAAATTAAAGGACTTGTATGGAAGCTCAGGGCAGCACTGGACTCTTAGTTGGTTAGAGAGAACAATACTTAATAGTAGTGAGCACTTAATCTAGATAGCTCATGTTTTATTCACCATGCTATTTCCTTAACTGCCAGTAATTAAGAGGAGGTATATGGGACCAAGTGTTGTGGAATAAAATAATTTGATAGAATCTCTGGGTTCTTTGTTTTGCATGTATCTTTTAATATGTCAGCCATCTCTTCTGACTGTCACTTTTTTGTCATGACCTATTTATTAGTTCCAAGATCAGGGGAGTTAGCCCAAAGGATGAACCAGACCACAGAGCTTCCAAAACTAACTTTTAACTAATTGCTATAACTTCTTTATGAACTCGTGCCTTTGAGTATCATTATTATGATTCACATTTTTTTAATTGGCCTACAGGCTACAAATATAATTATGTATTGACAGCTAATATGTGACAGATTAGGTAAATTACAGAATTTACATGATAGACTGTGGTTGTTCAACATTCAGTCTTTTAATATCAGTTGCCCGTGAACTCTTAGCATACATTGTCCTAATGGAGAGGATCAAGGCTGTGGTCTCAGTAACTGTTGGACTGAGCATTGCTGGAGCCATAATGAAAAATAAAACCAATTTCTATACGGTTTTGATATGATGGAAACATAAACTGGCCTCATACAGAGGTGCTATTGTCTGTCAAATCAATGTGGTAGATCATACC